ATATATATCAACCTCATTGACACTTTCTTTTTAATATATGATTCAAGACATTATAATCTTTTTTACTTAAATGCTTAATTTCTTTAAAATTGATTTCTTTAATATCAATTAAAATGATTCAAGCCAAAACTTGTTATTGTACTAATCACTCTTCAAGCTAAGGCTATGAATCCTCAAAGCCTTAAAATCAAGTTGTTATAGTAGTTGATTATATATATCTAACTCACACTTTTGCGCTAATGTGCAATTCGAGATATCACACATATATATAGGCCTGACAAACGGGTGGGTTGAGTTAGGTTCGGGTTGGATTAATTTGGGTGACGGATTATACGGGTTGGGTCATAAATGGGTTGCAAGTTGAAAAAGTCCAACTCTAACCATACCCTAGTGGGTAATGGGTTAACCCATGGGTTGACCCATGATTGATCTTATTTTTATTTTTTATAATTATTTTTATTAATTTTTTTATATACAAATAAAATTATATATATCTAACTCACACTTTTGCGCTAATGTGCAATTCGAGATATCACATTTATATATAGGCCTGACAAACGGGTGGTTTGGGTTAGGTTCAGGTTGGATTAATTTGGGTGACGAATTATACGGGTTGGGTCATAAATGAGTTGTAAGTTGAAAAAGTCCAACTCTAACCATGCCCTAAAACTCATGGGTTGATCCATGATTGATCTTATTTTTATTTTTTATAATTATTTTTATTAATTTTTTTATATACAAATAAAATTATATATATCTAAATCTAATTAAAATATTGTAACTCATTAATACCAAATATTTTATAGTCTTAATCACAAATATTTAAATTAAAAAAATCATAAAGTTATAAATAATAATAAGTTGATTAACAATATTAAACTTAAAAAATTTTAATTTTACAATTATCTTGAAACATTATTAAGGAGTTTAAGTCTTTTTTTTTTTTTTTTATGATGAAATTGTTCTTCCAAGAATATCTTTCACTAAATTATTATGTTTATATCATAGTATCATATCTTTAATATTTTTAGTTGCATTATTATTTAATTCATGGTACTTAGTAATTAGATCAAACCCACATAATTTCTAGAGAAAGAAGAAATCATGATAAGTAAACATTCAAAATAAGTTCAAAACCATTTGAGTAATGGAAATGGGGTTAGAGAGTAAAAATTAATAAAAAGAGTTACCAATAAAAAAATAATTAAAAATAATAAGTATAATATTTTTAAAAATAATAATAATGAATAAAACAAATGGGTCAACCCATCAACCCACGGATTGACCCTAACTCAACTTGTAATTCGTGATTGACCCTAACTCAACTTGTAATTCGTACGGGTTGATATTATAAGTTATTTATGGTTTACAGGTTGAAATATGTAGATCAAAACTTGTTTTTTACAGGTGGAGTTAAAGTCGAGTTAACGGGTCGGATGAATTTTTGCCACCCCTACACATATATGATTTTAGGCCCAAAATTTAATGAGTTTAAGGTTCGACGTAGGCCCTACCTTACTTCAAGAAAATTTTTTAAAGGTTTTTGGTTATGGAAATTAACATGATAAAATTACCTTTTTCTAGGTTGAAGCGTGAGAAAATTCTATGCGAAGTATTAAATCCAAGAACAGTCTCATAGTAGTCGAGGACAGCGGTAAGCATCAACATGTCTAGCTGTCGAGATTTTTTTTGAGGGATAAACTTGAAGACCATACTATTAATGGACACCTGACGAACTCTAATTGGAGGATATTAATCAAGAGATAACTAAAGTATCAATCATACTCATATTAGATTTCATCGAATAACCTCCACTCATTTTTTCTCAAACACACACATTAATTCTTCATGCATCTCTTAGATTCTTCTTCTAATCCTCTAGCTCTAAACTCACTCACACACAAAGATCTCCTTTATAGATTTATTGTTGGAAATTTTTATGTGGGCTGTCGATAATTGTATTGGTTTTCTAAATTGGATCAAATGAAAAACTAGTAAAACCCAATAAAACAATGTGATCCAAGTAAATCTAGATTTTATTTCAGTTTTATATGGTGTGATATAAATAGGTGTAGAGCTTGAAATTAAAGGTGAGCTATTTGATGGGGTGTCCAAAAAATTATTATAATAGATTAGGTCCCTTTTCCCATTAAAAAAACAATATCTCTATAAATAAAAGAGTTAAGGAGTGACATGACCTATTAATTGTTACTATATAGAAGTTGATTAGGGAGAGAAAAACCTAAATCTCAATACTAACTATAAGTAATGATGCAGGGGACGAAAACGGGGGATGAAAATGGGGGACGACAGGCTATGCAAGATTTATACATGTGGTGCAATTATTAATTTGACTCCCTTGCATAACTTGTCGTCCCCCATTTTCATCCCCTGCACCATTACTCTACTAACTATATTTGTTTTGTAGGTTTTATTATGAGATTCCTAATTATAATGATTCTTGAATATCTTTGAAAATTCTTAGATAATATATTAATTAAAAAGATCTAGGTACATAATTTATTTATTTATTGATATTGTGTATTACATATATTATTGGTTTGAATGATTTGGTGTTTTAGAATCTAATTTAGGAGATTGATTATTTAAATAAATTCCTACATTTATATCTTATGTTAAACGTGAAACGGTGAAAGTGCCAAATTAAAGGCCAATTCTAGTTTCCAGCTAAGCTTTAACACCTTTCTTGTTTCGCAAAATTTTCATCAGAAGCCATATAACCATCCACAGACGTACGTTGAAAACTTCCATCCATAATTTACTTGTTAGAAACTTAATTAGTTGCCACTTTCTGATGACAACACTGAGCATAGTTCCCACGAGCATAAAAAAATGAAGAAAACAAAACTTAAAACGATTAGATGCCGTACCTTGAGTTGTTTTCCTGGTTTTGCCTCTGATATAACAAGGCAACACATGTGACATGTGTGATATACGAAACAAGTGGCCCTAAATTAATAGGCGGTCGTTGCCAACGCATTATCAAGTCCTTGACAGTCAATGGCAACCATTAAACTACGTTTAAGACTTAATTAATATTTTGGGTGGGAATAATAAATTTTGTACAAATACTACCCACACATATAACATAAATTAATTAATTAATGTGACAAATAGCTCAATATCTTAAAGTAAAATATCATAATTAAAACTCTAAATTTTACTTTTTATTATTAATTTTTATGTTTTTTTTTATTGTAATACGTTTTAGTTTAATATATTATACAATACATTTATTAAACAATCATTGTTTTCTAATTTAAAATTAAAAAACAAAACTATGTAGTTATGTATATAAAATGTAGAAATTAATTGAATTTGACTATACTTATATTACATTTTAATAGTTAAACTAGATGAATATTAAAAAATATGTTAAATTAAGTATATACTAATCATTTTTTTAATCAAATTCATATCAACAATTATAACTGGTGTTGTGCAGCAAAAGATACGAGGAAGAGAACTTGTTTTTGGAATAAACCATCTAAAAGGATCCCTTGGAGGCAAGGAAAGACAAAAGCTTCATCCCTAAGGGTGTATTAATGTAAAGATCCTGCATAGAATTTGCCAGAATTAGGTTTTAGCAAAATTTCCTGACAAAACACATATATATGTTAGAGAGAATTTTTAAGCACGATGACTCTGGACCCATGTAACATGTTCCTTAGGGCCATCCCCTTTTTTTTGCTGAGCTTGAAAGCTTCCAAAAAGGTGGGACATCTCACAAGTCATAACCAAATTATTTCTGATATATACTTTATAACCTAAAGTTTTTTTTCCAGATCACACTCTTCATAAAGCTAAAATATTAAGATTCCAATTTCATGACTTCATGACACATCAATTTACATGTATTGCCCATACATGTCATGGCAACAACATAATACTATATAATTACCAGTATTGGTAATTTCAAAATTAAAGTAAGATCATTCCCTAATTAACTACACCATTATCAGTCATTCCCTCACCACACCCTTTCGTGTTTAGTTTTGTAATGCACGAGCCGCAAACGTTTTTATTACAGCCGCAACTAATTGTCGGATGGGTCACGGAACTCGATCGCTCGAACCAAATCATCAGTAGTCCTATAAAGTCATTGTGCCCATACGAGAAGTTGAAGGCTCACTGTGGAATTACCAGTACAGATACTCCCTTCAATAATCATTAAGTATAAATGAAAATATTATAGTTATAATATTATATGATATTATAATTTTATGATATAAAATATTATTATATAATTATTTTTTTAATTTATAAGTATATTTATTATATATATTTACTTATTTAATATTATATTATTTTTTTTAACATGAAAAATTATGGTGGAATGAAAAATTTTTAAGTTGTTGGTGAAAATTAAATTTTTGATTAACTTAACCCAGATATTAAAATTTAAAGATGGATTATTAAGTCCAAACACTTAATTTAATATTATATTATATTTATTTAATATCATATTATAATTATAAATTTATAATTTTACGTACTATTATAATTATAATATTATTGAAATAAAAAATGGATGGTGGCCTCCTATCACCATCTAACACGTGTGTGGCTATGATTGTGCTAAATAAGCATGCGACGCCAAACACATCACACCATTTTTTCTTTGGGCCAAAGGAAAATGAGCATGTTATAGTGGTAAGTTATTCTACGAGAACTATTGCAGAGAAAACAACGCGAAAATGATTTTTTTTAAAACAGTGTACAATTAGTAGGAAAGGGGAATGAGATTTTGAAAACATAGGTGAACCTTAAAATCTCAGTCTCGACCAATAAATTTAAACGTTTAAAGACTTTAAGCTAAACCATTAGAACTCAGATACCAAATTAAACCACACGAAATGATGGGTCGGTCACAGGATGAGTAATTAAATTCAATTAAACACATCACAGCAGGCCCACACCATATACCGACTAGGCTATAAGAAACCCCATCAAAGAACATATACACCCCACTAATTCCAGAAATCAGTGTTCAGTGCTGAGCATAGCAGGAAAGCAGAAAGAGATGGAGGACAAGGAAGAAGATGTAAGATTGGGAGCCAACAAGTTCCCGGAGAGGCAACCGATTGGTACGGCGGCGCAGAGCCAAGATGAAGGTGGGAAGGATTACACGGAGCCACCACCAGCACCGCTGTTCGAGCCCGATGAGCTGACATCTTGGTCCTTTTACAGAGCTGGGATCGCAGAGTTCGTAGCTACTTTCCTTTTCTTGTACATCACTATTTTGACGGTTATGGGTGTGGTCACGGCACAGACTAAGTGCCAAAGCGTAGGAATTCAGGGGATCGCCTGGGCCTTTGGTGGTATGATCTTCGCCCTTGTCTACTGTACGGCCGGTATCTCTGGTAATTTCTCCTTTTTCTTCAAGCGGATGATCCAATTAATTAACAGAGCTTAAAAGTTGAAAAATTTTGAGTAAATTCTGATTATGATGGTGGGTGATATATGTAACAGGTGGTCATATTAATCCAGCGGTGACGTTTGGACTGTTCTTGGCTAGGAAGTTGTCCTTGACAAGGGCCCTTTTTTACATGGTGATGCAGTGCCTCGGCGCCATATGCGGTGCTGGTGTGGTGAAGGGATTCATGGGGAACCCCCGTTACGAGTCTAACAAAGGCGGAGCCAACTTCGTAAACCCTGGCTACACTAAGGGCGACGGTCTTGGTGCTGAGATTATCGGCACCTTTGTTCTTGTCTACACCGTCTTCTCCGCCACTGATGCCAAGCGAAGTGCTAGAGACTCTCACGTCCCTGTATGCACCCTAGTTTCTTTTCCCTGATTAATTAATTATCTTAATTACCCCAAACAAATACTAACTATCCGGTGCGGTGCTTTAAATTCCGGCCAGATTTTGGCTCCTCTTCCAATCGGGTTCGCGGTGTTCTTGGTACACTTGGCCACCATCCCGATCACCGGAACGGGCATCAACCCAGCAAGGAGTCTGGGTGCTGCAATCATTTTCAACCGAGACAAGGCTTGGGATGATCATGTAAGCCCCAATAACAACTAATTAACTGAAGTACTTGTTTTAATTAATCTTTTTAGGTGAGTTTATTAATTTAGTTTATTTTGCAGTGGATTTTCTGGGTTGGACCTTTCATTGGAGCAGCACTTGCAGCACTATACCACCAAGTGGTGATCAGAGCCATTCCTTTCAGATCCAAGTAAAGGATGATGATCATGTGATGATTTATGATGCTTTATCGGTGGCCGTCTGATGTCGTTCTTCCTTTTTCTTTGTTTGGAATGTCCCTGTGTATCTGTATGTAAAGAATGTGAAATGTCCCTATCTATTATGCTTCTGCCTTCATCAAGAACCTTCTTTATTATTATTATTACTTAAAAAAAAAAAGAGAATTATCAATTATTTTCAACGGTCCTATCTTAATTTGGTGGGCAATGCAATATATGATGTGTATCCTTGATGGCTTGTAAAATGTCATTTTCAAAAATAAAACCGACCAAAACCCACTCCTTGTCTTCAATTAAGTCCTAAATCATATAATTGCTTAAGCTAAAATGTCCTTTTTCTATCTACTTTATCTCTATGAAAGTGTGACAATCTAACCACTCCCGAAGTAACAAGTAGTAGCTACTAAATCCAATCAATTATATAATTCAAAAGTGCTAACTTTAACATTCTTATCATATTCGCATTTTTTTTTTTTATCCCAACACTCTGGCCTAACCAGTTGGCTTAGATGCAGTTCTAGTCTTTGGTTTGTCGTCTCCTCTTCCTCTTATAGTAGATACTAAATAATTGTAATATAATTACCCCCACCAGGTTGCAGATTTTCCAGTTGATGACACACAGAAAAAGGGATTCATTCATAATATTTAAATGTTTTAATAAATATTTTTACTTTTTTTTTTTCGACTATTGATCTAGGAAAATATGTTTATATTATTATGATTTTATTCACACTGTTAAATTAAAAAAAAGAAGTCAAATTGGCAATTTTTATATATGAAATGCTACTTAATGAAAGTGCATTAGGTATATCTTTAATTTAAGAGAAATGAAAGGGATAGATGAATTGATCAAAAGATTCATCTTTCTCCTTTTTTTCTCTTTTTCTTTATTTCTCCTAAATCAAACCTACTTTTCATGATCATAAAGTTCACAAAGAGTTTAACTTAGAGTTGATAAAAATCATTAAATTAAAATTTTATAATAGTTAGGATTTAAATTTTTGTAATACCTTATGTATCCAAAAATTAATTGGAATTTATAAAATACACATTCAAATAAAAATTTTTTATAATTAAGTTCCATAATAAAATAAAAAATAAACTTCTCTCGTTGCTTAACTTATTCATTTACACATCATGCAATTCAAATTTAGACTACTTATGTTGTTCACCATGTACAAATAGAAATCAGAGCAATTACACTCTTTTTCGCATGATTTAAGCTTTCTTAGTAGTGTAAGAGTCACAGGCACAGCCCTTAATTTCATAACATGCATTTTTTCTTTCTCAGCGCAACAACAACGCTAATACCCTTTTTTGATTCTCTTCCGTCCTTAAAATCTTCGACTACCATCTGTTCAATCTTGCTGTATAACTTATCCATTACCTCTGCTCCAAATTGCTGTGACATCATCGGTTCTGTGAAGGCCCTAATCGCTTTAGCTCGCACTTCTGGACTTGGAAACACATTCTTGCCTCCAGTCTCGATCGTCGCCGTCTCCAAATAAACCGTCGTGAAAGACCCCTCTTTCTCCACCACTTCACGAACTTCCTCTTGCCACGGTGTGTAGTAGGGTACATTAAAATCGTCTAATTTCTCTTCCTTAATCAGTCCCTGTTTAGCCAATTCAGCTATGGCCTCAGATAAAAGTCCCATTATGTAGCAACTATGTTTACAGAAAGGATCTTCCGACTCCCGTCCACGGAGTATCAGAAGCATGAGACCGCCGGGAACCAACTCCGGCGACCTGGATTTTAAGAAACAGGAGAAATCTTCTTGAAAGTGGGACAGGTATGCTTCCCTCACAACAGAGGGGCTTGTTTTAGATATATAAAGATTACCTCTGTTCAACGGAAACCCTTCCTCAGATACAATTCTGGGGGCCTTGGAGAGCCAATGTACGCTGTAACATGAATGAACAAGATGCAAGCTGTGCCGGGGAAAAAGCCGGCCGTGGAAGGAGCCGGGCACTGCAGTGAAAAAGCAAGAGAACTGACCCTCATATTGTTGACGGAAAACAGAGATACCCTTGAAGAGTGTATTGAAATCATTGGCTGGAAGATCGTTCAAGTAAAATTGGATTTCCGGTGTCTTCAATTTGAGTTCATCGGTCTTGTTTGCGATGCTCTGTAACACTGTAGACATTACCAGAAATGTGTTTGGACCGGCAGCACAACCCAAATCTGCTATATTAAGAACCTGACAAGGGAAAAGATCAGGGCTTTTGAACAGAGATTGAGTCACTGTGTCAACTAGAGGCATGGTTAAAGCGGCAACCTTTTGCTGCATTCAAAGATTGTTTATAAATTAAAACAACAGAAACAGAATGAACGAATAGATTTGGGGAGAGATTACAATCAAACCGTGTATAATGAATGCTTAACATAGCTGTTTTCTCCATCTCCTTTCTTCATGGAAAGCGCATCTTTCAACTCCATTTCCTTCGTTGTTCTGAGTGTTGCGCCTGAATCCTGAAGAAAATGGCGTTTACACTCGATAATTTATAGTACCATTTTATTTTTCTCATGGTCTGCGGTTAGGGATAGATTTTTTTTTTTTTTTTTGTCTTTTTTCTTTGAAAAAAAATTCTATTAAAGTAATATTTCAAGACTAATTTTTCATGTTTTTCAAAATTAATTTCTTTCTAAGTAATTTTAAAAATACAACTCTTATATTAATTTATTACATTTAATAAATTTAATTTTTTAATACTAATTTTATATTTTAAACTGTAAATAAATTCAATTTATAAATTAATACTTATTTATAAAGAAATCTTACTCTTAAAATTAGGAATAGAGGCTTGGCGTGCTTCAGTTTTAGCCACTCAAAATTTTTTATTTGGAAACCAATTATCCTCTTAACCCAGTCAAAAACAATTCATTCTCACCCAGAGTGGCCACTCAATTTTCTCGTGCTAGACCACTCAATTTTCTCGTACAAGATTCCATCACTTCAAAACTTTTGTGGTTCAAATTGAGACATGTAAAAAATCTTCAAAAATAATATATAATTATAATATAACACAATATTATAATCTTACTACAATCACAATATATTATTATCTATTAGACGCTTTTCATGTAAAAATTTCCATCACTTCAAAACTTTTGTGGTTCAAATTGAGGCATGTAAAAAATCTTTAAAAATAATATATAATTATAATATAACACAATATTATAATCTTACTACAATCACAATATATTATTATCTATTAGACGCTTTTCATGTAAAAATTTATTTATAATTATTTTTATTTTATAATTGAGTATAAATTGAATTAACTAATAATAATCTCTTATAAAATCTTTTTATAAAAAATGTGAAACAAACGACAAAAGCTATTGAAAAGTAGTTTATGCCGCCTGCCACATGCCACTCCGAGGCCCTCTTTAGTTATAGGAATACTTTATTAAAAAACGTTTTTATGAAAAAAAAATAGTTGCGAAAGTTTTATATAAAAAATTATTAAATATTATGATAAAATTTTGTTAAAATTTTATTAAATTATTAATTTTATTATATTTGATAATAAATTAATATATAAAAAATTAATAAAAATTATTAAATGACTCTAATATAAAAGAGTTAAAAAAAAATTTTTAAAAATTTTATAAGTTACAAATTATTTTAAAAAATAAATATCTAAAATATTAATTTTTCTTTTATTTTATTATAGTGTCATTAAAAGAGAAAAAAGTTTGAAAACGTTTAGAAAGAAAAGGTCCTACTGACCAAAGACCCTTAATTTTGATAGTTTTTTTTTTTTTTTGAACAGCAAATGATATATCCATTGATGAAAATACTGAGTACAAGGGGTACTCAAACCCTTGCTACAATTACAAGGATCAGCCTTCCAATGTTAATCCTATCTTTCGGGTCAATACTACTTTCGTCTACAGTTTACTAAAAGACAAGCAGTAGGATCAATCATCCAATCTGAAAGACTGAAATAACACCTAGCTTTCCTTGTTTTAACCCAATCAAAAGATCTCAATTGAATAAGCTCAAAAAGATTACTTGTGTTTACCTTTGACTCACGAAAGACCTTTCCATTTCGTGCCATCCAAATAGTCCATATCACTGTATTCCATATGCAGTCCCACCCTTCTGAAATGCATGGTTTTGTAGTCCATGTCCCAAAATGTTGAAATGTCGTCCAGCAATCTCTGTGAAGTGTAAAATTTGTTCCCCACCAGTTTGCGCATGCTTGCCACAGGCCTCTAGCTACTTTGCATTTTAAAAACAGGTGGTCAGCATCCTCAATCTCTTCATTGCATAAGACACAATTTCCTTCTGCCATGTCTTTGATAATACCCCTTTTGATCAGATTTAACTTAGAAGGGATTCTGTCCAGCAGTGTTTTCCAGTTAAGTGCCGCCACTTTGGTAGGGACGATAGGGTTCCAAACCCTTTTAAAAATTTTTTCTTCCTCTAGGTTCTTCCTTGGCATTGATAGCTTTTGGTAAGCTATTTTTGTCGAGTATTGGCCTTCCGTGCTGTGGCTCCATTCCCATCTGTTTGGGCAACCTGGTGTGATCTTCACTCCTTCAATCATCCCTTGGAGCTCTCGGACTGCTTCTTCTTCCCATTCAAGCAAATTTCGTCTCCAAGATAAATTCCATTTCCATAAGGTTCGATCCTCATTACCCATTTCATGACATTCTTTTTCTTTCCCTGTTGACAATAGATATAGTCTAGGAAATTTGTTAGCTAAACACTCCTCCCCACACCATGTATCCCACCAGAATTTGACACCTCTCCCTTCCCCTATCTTGAGTCTTAATTTTGATAGTTAAGATGAACTAGTTCAAGTTAGCAATAGTCATACATAAATAATAATAAATGTATAATTTGTTTTTTAAGTTTGTTGTCTTATAATTTAAATTATATCCAGTTTTAAAAATAAAGACTTTTAGATGAGAAGATAAACCTAATAGTAGGGGCTTATCTCTCATTAAAAGGTCAAATATTTTATAATTCCAAATAATTTAAATAGTAAAATAATTTTATTTTTATTTTTTGTAATAGCTTATATAAAAACATTTTATAATTAATTTTACTAATTTATTTAGACTTGTAAATTAATATTCATTCATTCATGTGATATCCTATATAAAATGATTGTACAAAGTTAACATTATATCTGTAGAGCCGTAGCTTTGCAAACGGTCCTAAAATCAACATAATTAAACGAACAAAGGTGACCAGCATTTGAAATTATTTGACCACATAGCCAACCAGGACATCCTATCCCACTGAGACAGAGAAGTGTCTTTCATAGGAAAAGAAAGGCCGAAACTTCAAATATGCCCTTCAAGCATGGGGTCGGAAACTATTATATTTACCCTCAAATTAAATATGAAGACACACTCCATTAACTAATTGACTTAGATAAATTATTTTAAATTTAATTGTTGATGATAACAAAAAGTTAATATTATATGATAACAACAGTTAAATTTATAGTTATTTGTTTAACTTAATTAATTAATTAATGAGATAATTTTTTCTTATATCTAATTTGAATTCCCAGAAAAGAAACTAATGTGGGTTTCACAACAATTGCTTTCATGGCAGAAGAAAATTACTAGAAGTTTACGACACTGACGATTTAGATTATTTTCTCCCCCAGCACAAAAACAATGCTTGTGAGTTGTGATATACGTTAGTTCTGTCCCTAGCTCATAATTCGCAACATGAATCTCTTCAGCCTTTTCATATAGCTCGTGTATTAGGTCTTCTCCAAACTGTCTTGAAACGAACGGCTCCGAGATGGCCCTGAGATTCTTCATCTTCTGTTGTGGTATTGACCATACACTCGTGCCTCCAACCTCCACTGGAACTGTTTCTAGGTATTCGGTCGTAATTGACCCCTCCTTCTCCACCAATACCGGAGCTTTCCTCTTGCCATGGAATGTAGTATGGCACGTTGAAATTGTCTAGTTCTCTTCGTCAATCAGTCCCTTTTTAACCAACTCCGGCCATGGCCTTAGATAAAATTTCCCATATGTAGCAGCCGTTTCTACAAGTGGGATCCTCCACTTCCTGGCCGTCGATTACTAGAAGCAGTAGGCCCTCAGGTTCCAATTCTAGCGACCTAGATTTCAAGAACAAGAAGAAGTCTTCTTGAAATTGCTAAAGATATGCTTTGCTTACTTCAAAAGGTCCCGTTTTAGTTATGTAAATCTTTCCCTTATCTAGAGGTTTTCTATTACAATTCTCGGGACCCTGGAAAGCCAATGAGCCCCGGAACAACAATGAACAACATGCAAGGTGTTTCGAGGAAAAAGTTGGCCATGAAATGAACCGGGTATGGTCGCAAAAAAGCAAGAGTACTGGTCGTCGTATTGTTGATGAAAAACACAGAGACCTTTGATTAGTGTGTTGAAATCATTACTGGGGAGATCGTTCAAGTTGTTAAGATATGAACACAATTATATTTAGAATTATTGTAAATACTTTATACTTTAAAATATTATCTTTGTATACTTTATACTTTTGAGTATTCTTTTTGTAAAATCTATATATAGGTTATTGTACATACAATATGATTCAAGAAAGCAATTAACCTTTCTTCAAATTATTCTTCTTTTCTATTTTCTAACATGATATTAGAGCTATAAGCTTCTAGTTCTTTTCTCTTATCATCGCTGTTGTGTTTTTTGAAGTTGGACTTTCAATTCCATTCCAAATCTGAAACTTTGTTGTTGGGATCTTTTCTCCTATAGATTGGATTGTTTATTCTCGATTTTCAGGTCCTTTCTAAGGTATTTTATTGGTTTGTTATTTCGATTTTGGCATCTATTTCTTCATATTTTTAGAGTTTTTCAGTATTGTGAGTTTACTAATTCTATGGCGAGTTTTGAAAGGATTGTAAGTTATCATGCTACTACTATGGTTGCCAAAAAAAGTGATAAAACAACCTAATGTCAACCTTTAATCCCTAAAACAGGTGATATTAAATCTTTTTAATGCTCCTACTGCCTTATCTACTGCTCCGGGTACCAAACCTTGGTATTTTAATTCTGGTTGTTGTAACCATATATCTTCAATTATTGTTCATTTCTCTTCAATGTCACCTAATAATTCTTTTCCTAATATTTATTCTACTGATGGTTCTCCTATGAATGTTAGTCACATTGGTAATGTTTCTACAAAGTCATTGACTTTACCAAATGCTCTTTTAGTTCCAAAACTTAGTTATAATCTTCTATTTGTTGGTCAATTATGTGATCTTGGTCTTGAAGTAACGTTTTTTGCTCATGGTTGTCGTGTACAGGACCCACGGATAGGACAACTTCTTGGAACTGGTCACAAGGTGGGGCGTTTGTTTGAGCTCAACTATTTGCATATTCTTGATAATAAAATGGATACACCATCATTTTCAAATGATCGATTCATCCAAACTCTGCTTTGTGCTGTTGAATTAGAGTCTTTGCAAATTCCATATCAACAAATCTTCCAAGCCTATGCTACTACTAACATTTCTCTTTTCCATTTGTGGCACTCACAACTCGGACATACCTCAGTTGGTAAACTTCATCCACTTATCTCTCGTGGTTTATTAGGATCAGTTCCGAATGAATCTGTGCATTGTGTGTCATGTCAATCTGCATATTTGTGCAACCAACTTTATCTTTTTCGAGTAGTCATTCACATTCTACTGCTCCTTTTGATCTCGTGCATTTTTATGTTTGGGGTCCATCTCCTACACCCACCATGGGGGTTCTAGGTACTTTGTGTTATTTATTGATGATCATACTCGTTTTACCTGGATATATATCATGAAAAGTCACTCTAAATTATCACAAATTTATATGGATTTTGCTACCATGGTTAAAACTCAGTTTTCTAAAACTATCAAAGTTTTGGGAATTGACAATGCTATTGAATATCTTGGTACTAAACTTCAATCCTTTTTGAAAGAACAAGGTATACTGCCACAATAATCTTGTCTTTAAACTTCAGAACAAAATGGGCGAGTCGAACGCAAACACAGACACATCCTTGATTTCGTTCGTGTTCTGCTCATTTCATCTTCTTGTTTAGAGCGATTTTGGGATGAAGCTGCTCTTATAGCTATTTATCTTATTAATCGCATTCCATCATCAGTCTTTAATAACTAGTCTCCATACGAGTGTCTACATGGTATTCTTCTTGCTTATAATATTCTTAAGGTTTTTGGTTGTGCATGTTTTGTTCTTCTTCCACCTCATGAACATAACAAGTTAGAACCTAGAGCTTGACTATGTTGTTTTTTGGGTTATGGGATTACACAAAAAGGATATCGCTGTTGGGATCCTGTGTCACAAAAACTCCGAGTTTCACATCATGTTGTCTTTTGGGAACACACTATGTTCTCATCATTGTCAAACTTCAAAGTGTCATCCTCTCATTAACCTCCATTTTTTAGTAATCCTTCTATTGAGCCATTTCCTAGTGATTCTAATGCAGGTACATCTAATGAGCTCTACAATGTCTCACCACATGCTTCAACTAGTTCTGTAGAAGATGATTTGCTTGCTGGTAATACATTAGATAATTTTGAGCCTTCTTCTACTTCCTTGTCTGTATCACCTGTTGATTCTACAAATGAGCTTATTGTCCCATCCTCGAGTCATCTTGCTCGAGTAAGAAACCCTCCCAACTACCTTCGTGATTATCATTGTTTTCCTACTATTACTTCATTACATGAGCCTCAATCCTATCAAGAGGCCTCTTCTAATCCTCTTTAGCAACAAGCTATGCAAGATGAATTACAAGCTCTTGAGAACACTCGTACATGGGATTTAATTGATCTCCTTGTTAAAAAATCTCTAATAGGCTGTAAATGGGTGTGCAAGATCAAAACACGATCTGATGGTTCTGTGGAGTGTTATAAGGCACGCTTGGTTGCCAAGGGTTTTATACAGGAGTATGGAATCGACTATGAGGAGACATTTGCTCCAGTTGCTCGTCTTACATCTATGCGCAGTTTGCTTGCTATCGCTGCTATGCGGAGATGGAAATTGTTTCAGATGGATGTGAAAAATGCTTTTCTTAATGGTGACCTAGAAGAAGAAGTTTATATGAAACCACCTCCTGGGCTCAACCATCCTCCAAACAAGGTATGCTGATTGCAACGTCCATTATATGGGTTGAAGCAATCCCCTCGAGCCTGGTATGCGAAGTTTAGTGCTATTGTGAGTGAGTTTGGTTTTACCTCCAATCCACATGATACAGCTTTGTTCATTCGTAAGACTGCTCGGGGTATGGTTCTTTTACTTCTTTATGTTGATGACATGATTATTACTGGAGATGATGTCACAAGTGTTAAGGAATTAAAACAATCTCTCAATCAGAAATTTGAGATGAAAGATCTTGGTGTTCTGAGCTATTTTTTGGGACTTGAAGTGACCTCTTCAGATGATGGCTACCTGCTTTCTCAAGTAAAATATGCCTCCGATCTTGTTTCTAAAGCTGAACTCAATGATGGTAAGAGTGTTTCTACACCTCTTGAACCTAATGTCAAGCTTACACCTATGGATGGCTCTCCACTTTCTGATCCTACTCGCTATCGACAATTGGTTGATAGTCTGGTTTATCTTACTACAACATGCCATGATATAGCATATGTAGTTCACATTGTTAGTCAATTTATAGTTGCTCCTCACTCCACTCATTATGCAGCAGTACTTCGCATTATTCGCTATGTTAAGGGAACATTATTTCATGGACTCCATTTTTCTGCCAACTCCTCCCTTGTGCTTCGCACTTACTTTGATGCTAATTGGGCTGGTGATCCTTCTGATCGTAGATCTACCACTGGTTACTGTCTTTTCCTTGGTAATTCTCTTATCTCTTGGTGGAGTAAGAAACAAGCTATTCCATCTCGCTTTAGTATTGAAGCTAAGTATAAAGCTCTCGGGGATACCACATCAGAACTTCTTTCATTGCGGTGGCTTCTTGAAGATATGGGCATTCCTCAACCTTCTTCTATTGATTTATATTGTGATAATCAAAGTGCTATGCAGATTGCTCATAATGATGTCTTTCATGAACGTACTAAACACATTGAGGTTGATTGTCACTTTATTCGCCATCATGTTGCACAAAAAACTGTTTATTTGGTTTTCATTAGCTCCACTGATCAACCAGTAGATTTCTTTACCAAGGCTCATTTTCCTAGACGCTTTCGTACTTTTCGTTCCAAACTCAAGTTGGTTTAATCACAACCACCTTGAGTTTGAGGGGGGATGTTAAGATGTGAATACAATTATATTTAGAATTATTATAAATACTTTATACTTTAAAATATTCTCTTTTGGATATTTTATACCTTAAAATATTCTTTTTATAAACACCTATATATAGGTTATTGTACATACAGTATGATTCAAGAAAGCAATAAACCTTTCTTCAAATTATTCTTCTTTTCTATTTTCTAACAAAAGTAAATTGGATTTCTGGTATTTGGATTTTGAGTTCACTGCACTTGTTAGCTATGCTCTGCAACATCGTCGACATCATCAGAAATGTGTTTGGATCGGTAGAGCAAAGCCAAATCAGCCATCTTGAGAACCTCACAAGGGAAAATATTATGAGTTTGGAGGAGAGATTGAGCAACTCTGTCGATTGAAGGATGGTCATTGACGCAAACTTTTTCTGCAAAATTCAAAGATGACATTTTTAGAATAAACTGAACAGATTGCTGAATGGAAAGAAGAAAGGAAGAAAATTAAAGAAACAAAGAATAGATAATAATTAAGACCGAAGATAATGAAGCCTTAAGGTAGCTTTTTTCTGCATCTACTTTGGTCATGCTCAGAACTTGTTTCAACTCCATGAAGGCTTTCCCCTGTTCTCTTCTATTTTATTTGCAAAGGCTATTTTTTTCTCGGTTCTTTCCTTCAAATTATGAAGACATGATCTCTCAATGGGTTGAGCTCTATATATAGGCGTACGGCAAGTCTAACTTTTTAAAAATGATGAACCTTTTTTGTTGGGCAAAGGCTTTTTTTTTTTTTTTGAACATGGAGAATAATAAGAGAGGAGGAATTTTCGAGTAGCTAAAGTTGAATTTTGATTAATTGAATATAATTATTAAAATTTAAAAATGAATGATTAATTTTAAAGGGTTTATTTGAGAAAGATAAAATTTTTTTTATTTAAATGCCCTTAGTGTATTTTTTTATGTCAACTCAGGAAAACTTTATTTTTTTTTTATTATTATTTTTTTGACAAGGGTAATGGTTAGGAAGTTAATAAAGTTAGTTTGTTAACAGCTGATATTTTCTAAAGTGGTGAACATTCCAACCCCTCGTATAAGGCATGCGACCATTAGGTCGGAAGTTGGTGGAATTCACGACGATGACAGAGCTCAAAGCCTTAACCTCCGCCTCACCCAAACCCTAAGGTTTGGAGACCAACCATTGGACCTCAGACCAGTTGGTAGGAAAACTTTATTAATAATAAGGCAACAACACCATAATCATGATCTTTGTATGT